AAACTGGCTGGATGAAAATTATCCAGAAAGATGGATCGGCCGTGGAGGACCAGTCGCCTGGCCTCCACGATCCCCTGACCTAAATCCATTAGATTTCTTTGTGTGGGGATTTCTAAATGAAAAAGTGTACCAGACTCCCGTAACCACAAGAGATATGCTAATAGACAGAATCAGGAATGCATGTGATGTAATAAGGCATTATTTGAATAATGCTATACCACGTTCGATCATTCGTGGATGTGAATTGTGTATTGAACAATTGGGTTTACATTTCGAGCAAGTACTTTAGATTTTGTATGTTTGTCCTAACTATCCAGTAGCATTTTAGTTGTAAATAATTAATTTAATTTGTTAAAAATAATAAAATTAAACAAATTAATATTCTGTTTTTTGTGTTTATTTGGAGTTAGGAATTATTGCTGTGTTTAAAAACACAATCTAAACGATCATCTTAATTACTTGTAATGCCCAAATCGAAAATGTAAAAAATATTACTTTCCCATGAATAATTAAAAATACATCGAACCTTAGAAATCGAAATATCTCAAAAACGGCTAACTATAACGAAAACTCACAGGAGAGCTTTTTTATGCAGAAAAGTGCGTAGAATCAGGTTTTTTGTTCAAAAAGCAAAAGATTTCACTAAGAAAATTTTTTCGGTCATTTTAATACACTACCGGTACAGTAGAGAGCGCCCTCTAGCGGCTTCAGTAAAACTATGCCCATGGTTCGTTTTGTCTAACATAAAATCATCCCACATATTGGCATTTTCAGCCTTTAAAAATTCCAAGAAGGTCGCAGCATTTAACCTTGCAGGCAGACGGTAGGGTTCAAATAGTCGATTTCGGTAGATACCAATCCACGGTGTCACGCTAAATTCATGCTGAAAATTTCTTTCCCGAACTGAATGCGGATTTTCATGCGACCAAATATGTTGATTGTGAAAATTTACCACTCCACGTCTAGTGAAGCATGACTCATCGGTCCATAAAACGTTACTTAAAAACTCCCTATTATTATCAGTTCTATCAAGAATCCACTGACAAAATGTGATTCTTCATCCTCCGTCCCCTGGCTGTAGTCCTTGCACAGGTTGCAAATGGTAAGGACGTCTATGGTCATTTCTATGAACACGGTGAACATGGCTTGCTGAAATTCCAAGGCACCAGACACTTGTGGTCGGATCTCTATCAAACTCACGCAGAATCATACGGGTAAATCTGCGCGGACGAACATTTATGTTTTGATCCCTTTGGAAATTTCCAAAACCATTTTCAATTATTTATATCTTGATTGGAGAATAAAAATGGCATTTTTATGAAAAACAGGTAAAAGAAACTAAATTTCGTGCATTCATAATTGCAAAAAACGTTTCAGGTTTCAACAGACAACAAAACTAACTGTCAACTAATTGACGTTTAACCTTATTCTGCTTTCAATTTCAAAAATATTTGCAGGCACAGCCTACTTCTAAGAATTATCGAGATACTGACTGTTTAACGTTATTTTATCATAAATAATTAAAAATGCATCGAACCTTACAAATCGAAATATCCCAAAAAGGGCTAACTATAACGAAAATTCACAAGAAAGCTTTTTTATGTTGCAAAGTGCGAAGAATCAGTTTTTTTATTCAAAAAGCAAAAAATTGGAGTAAGAAAAAAATATCGGTCATTTTAATACACTACAGGTACAGTAGAGAGTGCCCTCTAGCGGCTACAGTAAAACTATGCCCATGGTTCGTTTTGTCGTACCAAAGAACCCTTGTATACCAATTTTCACTGTTATACATCAAATATTGTTCGAAATATTTAAAAAACTATTTTAAAAAGTAAATTTAAACACCCTGTATTTCGGAAGCCACGCATTTTTCGACCCATGTTTATATAGACTTTATGCATTAATTTTAAAGTTCTATCGAATCTTAAAGTTATGCAACAATAACAATAAATGAAACACCCTGTATATAACTGTCCGTTTCAATCTGATTATAAAGGGAGAGTTACAAAAGGAACTAATGGATATTTTTTCAAACTTCTGGATTTATCGGAAATGTTGATAGTCCGGGTAATATCTGTGCATCTGATGGGGAAAATACTAGAGTTAAGATTTTTTGCGTAATATGGCGTCAACGTCGTCGTTGTCATCAGCTCATAAAACGATTAAGTTCGGCACGGGTTAGCCCCTCGGAACTAGCTACAAACATGTATAACAAAAAAATAAATGGATTAAGTTAGCCAAACAGGCCCATGCAGTTCGTCCATACTCCATAGTCTCAACCCATTTGATACCGCTTTCGCTAGTTCCTTCCCTGCTATAAGGATCGACCATCTGGCACCGGTCCTTAACCACGCTTGTGTAAAATATGTACTGACAGGTGCGTAAAATTAACGCGGTTCGAAATCTGTAAATATACTAATGCCAAAAAAAGATATATATCCTCTTTCACCCCCTGCAACCCCCAATCCTCTATCAGGAGTTTCTAAAACACCAAAAAGAAAACGATTTTTGAACGGTTTCTTTTTTGTGATTTTGACCCTAGGCTTGCGTTCTTTGGACTGAATTTCAAAAACTGCTAAGGTTTTGCGTCCTTGGCATAGAAATAACACTGTGTAAAAGTTTCATCGAGCGCTACTTCTCCAGTTTTTTTATAAAACGGATACCCGTCGGAACGTGTCATTTCCCTTGGAACATCCCCAAAAAGTTCCCCAAGTGAAAATCCCGCAAATTTGGGGGTTAATATCCCTACATAGCAACCCTGGTATACCAGGCGTCAAGCATCGGGATCAGTTTTACAGCACGAACTGCACTGCCGTAGGCTCCATGCAAAGCACAATTGTCGCAGAAAGCGTGGTTAGATGCCTCCTGTCATCACATGTCATTGTAATAATTTAGGAGTTCTAAAAATGAAGCTTGACAGTATTCCACAGTATAACGTCATCTGTCAATCTACATTACCAAGGGATTTACACACATACAGCTGTATTGACTGATGGATTCGTTAGTGTTAGTGGATATCTACGTTACCTTATGCATGAATAATTAGTGACGAAACGGCTACAGGGTCGATAAGTATCATATTCCGTGATTCATATGCAAGACTGATCGTGTAACATTCGTAAATAAGATAGTTTTAGATACTTTTCATATTTTCCAAATATAATAGAACAGGGTCCAACTATTAGGAAACTGAAAACCTAACTGTTGAGAGGTTAACCGATGGTAGATTCATTTTGATCTACTTGTAGGTCCTTGGATCTCCGAAGAAAGTTGTGAGATTTACTGAAAGAAACTGACCATAATGGCAAAAACGTATCATCTTCTCATATACAGAGGTTGCTTTGGATTCCCTTGGATTACCTCTGATTTTCTTTAACCGCCTCTAATCTCATTCCAGTGCGATAGAGAATCTCTATGAATTGCCTCAAACTTCCTCCATGACGCCTCCTTGCTATGTGCTGATCAAAAAAGCATCACAGACGCATGGTAAGTTCTTACTCGTGGTACACGTTCTTAACCAACATCCTACTGAAAAACCATCAACCGTTATGCTTTTTAAGCTTCCACTAGACCAGCCCTGTTCACTAGCGTTGCAGCATAAAGATGCAAATAGCACTTTTTCACTCCTTTGGCGTGATAATTAGTCATTGAAAGCTACTCTATGCGGCTCTCATGCCCCAATTTAAACTATTACGCTTTTAAATAATAGCCCTAAATAACCATCGTTTTAACTTCGAGTTGCCGGTTTTCTGTTACGTAAATTTCCCTGTGGGGCTTTCCGGGTAATTTTTGTTAGCTGCTAAGCTGCATGCGACCATAAAGAATCAGGCGATGCTTAAAAAGACCCAACTAATCCAGCTGAAAAAGACGTAAAAGGATTAATCCTCCAACAGCTGCTGAATCCTGCTTATCCTTGTGAATCTTGGACTGTCTCAAGCTTGAGTGAATGACGTTTCAGTCATTCATTCTATTTTACAAAGTACAATATTATAAGCTCAAGCTTTTTGATCTAATTCGGTTTCTTTAGTAGCATTCTCAACAATTTTTGTAATCATTTCATTGGTCTCAATGTTATGTTTATATTGACATTTGTTGTTGTTCATTACCCCTAATGTGTTTAATTTTTCCAATTAAATTAATAATAATTTGGCAAGTTAGACAATAGAATGGTTTTTATTTTTATACTCAAAAATGGCGCATCGAAGGAAAACAATTCAAGAGAGATCATTTGTATTAAATTAAACGGGGAATTCAAAAATAATTTTTAGTTGGCAAAAAACCATTGACGTACCATTTTTTTCTTAAAAAATTTCGAAGTCGTCACTCGTACGCACGCCACTGTTAAAGCTCAAAATTACTTTTGTATTGGAAATTATGCAACTTTATAAACTTTCACTAAGCACTAAATATCAGTGAAATACCTGAAGCGGTTCTGAAAATATTAATTGATTTCCATTTTTTTCCTAAAACTTCAACACCGCAAGTTTTTGTAAGGGAACATTTTTGGACCATAGTTTATAAAGCAAACTAACATTAATTTTTTATGTAGATTCACACCCTTAAATATTCGCATATCATTAAGGATCACCCTATAGACAATTATTGCTGAGAGTTACAAAACGTTGGGCTTTGATATACGTGAATTACTGTTAGGCTTTTTATTGCTCATTTGTTCGTTCAAAGCTTAAATTTGCATCAATTGTTTGGAAAGCTTCGTATAAGAAGACGAAAAGTGGCAGTTACCCGCCAATTGGCTACCCTCAAAAAATTTCGGAAGAAGCCTTTGATATAGAAAGTCTCAGGGTAAAGCGTCCATGTAAGAGATGACACACTTCAGAAAGAAGCCTCTAATACCCACAATTTTTCTTATGTACGAGCCTACTTCAGTTGCCCCACTTCAAGATTTGTACCAAAAGATGCCTTTATAAACTAAACATGACGAAACTATTTACTTCTAAAACAATTTATTTTCTCAAAAACATTTTAGATACACTCTAGTCGTAAAAAATACATATTTGAAATCACTTAGACCTATAACTAATAGAACATCTGAACAAATAAACAATGTTCGAATAAATGCGCGAAGTTAACAAAGCAACAATTGAAAGATTACCATTGGGTAACATCACCTTTATTTTTTTTACGGCTGAAATTCTTTGGGGCATAGTGTTAACCAAGTTTTGGCAAAAATTTGTTGTAAAACAATCCCATATTTCTTGATGGTTTTGTCTCAGTTCGGTGATTGTACGAGCAGGATGTTGTCGTAGAAGTAGAACCTTTTTCATCTCGTGCCACAAAGTTTCAATAGGTGACAGATCTGGACTGATAGAAACCCATTTCAAAAGTGGTACATTATTTTCTTCCATCCATTTTATAGCCTTTTTTGAGGTATGGCACGCTGCACCATCTTGCTGAAACACAAAATCTTGGCCGGATGTCAAACATTCTTCCATCACTGGTAAAGCGATTCTTCTAAAATTGCCAAATATTTGTTTGTATCCACATTTCCATCAATAAAATGAAGTTTTGATGACATACTGCCCCAGACCATAATGGATGCTGGAAATTTCACTTTTCTCTTCAGACAGTCAACATGGAATGCTTCATTTTTTTTGCGAATAACTCTACTACGACTGTCACCAACACAAACTTCGAATCGGGCCTCATCACTCCATTGTATTGCTCACCATTGTTGAGGTGTCCATTGTCTATGTTCTTTAGCCCATCTAAGCCGATTTTTCTTTTGCAGAGGAGTTAGAAGTGGCTTTTCTTTGGCCTATAAACAAGTTGTGCAACTTTAGGGTTTTTACTTTTTGTTATAAGAAAACTTACCTTGCAAGTGCTAAGTCCCAATTTGTGGGCCTCACACTGTACCGCGATAAGTCTAACAAAGTTGCAATTTCTGAGTTTGATTTCCCAGAATTAAAAAATATAATTATCAGTAACCGAATTTTCTCACTAATAACCTTTCCTCTACCCATTTTGAAAACCTTAACTACCGAAAACTATTTTAAACGTATTCTCACAGCTGTGATTAATAAAAACAACTGTCATAGCTTTTATTTTTGATAGCCACCTATGCGTTATAGACTTATTTAGCATTGAAATGAAAATAGGTTGATATGCTGTAATTGCAACATGTGTCATTTTTATGCTGCAAATTTGATTAAGGAGTGATAAAGTTGGCGTTTTCTACTATATATTATCAAAATATTCATTGTTAATATTCTAAACCTGTAAGACAAAAACTACGATTTCAATAGTTGGGCCAACTGAAGTGGGAAGTTACTATCTATAGTGTCGTGTGCCAAATCCAAAAGTAAAGATACTACGTATACGACATCGTAAAGTCTGCTATAAACAAATTTAAGCACATGACTGCTTGCCGTTTCGACAGATTTCTCAGCTCTCAATCTATGTTGCCATGCATTTGGGATATGGGATAACTGAGCAAAATCCTTTAGTCTGTGATACGTAGTAGTTTGGACGTATTGCTCAATAATGAAATTTGGGGATAGTTGTTAACGTTATCACGTTCGCCTTTTTTAAATAGGTATGATCACCGCAAATTTTAATATGTTAGCAAAAAAAGCAACTTTCAACACACAACTAAAAATTTCATTTAAAATATGTGAGGTAATATTATCAAAGACAGTAGAGTCATTACTTCTGATGCTCATTTAAGGTAGTTGGTAAGATGAAATGATACAGGGAAGTGATCAGTTCTGGTCAAACTGTGATTCCATTTTATAAATGCTGAAATATTCCTATTATAAATGAGTTCATATTTTTGCAGAAATATAGTGCACGTCTCTTTTTATTCATATCCACATCACTGCCTCTACAAATTGTTCGCATATCCTTCAGTATAAAAAGTAGGACAAAGCTTTGGTATACTGACAGAGGACTGTGTTTATATTCATACATCGCTGAACCTTTGATCTGGATCTTTTCAAAGCCTGTAGCGGAGTTCCTCCGACGGCGAAATGTTTTCCCGTTTTTATCGTATTTCCCCAGATTTTTCGGCAAATTATGCCCGAAAGTAGAAAAACAAAAGGTACGCGATGTCGAATAAAGTTTTAGCTCGAGCGCTGCCTCACACAAAAATGTCTTGGCGGGTGAGTTTTCTTCGGTTTCTCCGAGCGGCCCAACAGGTCACAGACACCTCGAAGCCCAGGGGTGTATTAAGAAGCTTGTTCCGTTAACGGTATCAGGGATAATTTTTGTGGGTTAATGAAAACTCCTCTTTAATTTTTGTCGAAATTTGCCACGCTCCTTTTAAAAGCAAGAGGATGGTGGTGTGATTCCTCGTTCCCTTTTTTTTTTAATTAATTAATGAATCAATAAAACACTATAAATGAAATCTAAGGGTCAATCAATGCAAAACAACTGACAAGCGGAGAGTAGCATGGATACAAGCAAAGTTAAAAATGTACTAAAGTGATATACCTTCAGAAAGCTACCCTTGTTCTAAAAAGAAGGTGACTTGTGGATACTGCCCTAAATTTGAGTACGAAAAATTCCAAACAAAATCACTCTACACTCTAAGAATTTCAGTCAGCAACAATCAATATATTAATATCTATAAAATACCCAATTAAACCTGTTCACATCAGGGCTTTTTTGTCAAGGGGAAGGCATGGCTTCCAACAAATCGGCTGCGAAGCAGCTACAAGGCAGCTACAAAACAAAGCTGGAGGAGTGCGGTGGTTCTCCGCAATGCCTTTCTACTAAAAGGAAGCAGATATTGAACAAACTTCTTCAGAACATGAATTAATGGACGTGGTCCGATGGTATGCAAAAAAGAACTTACCGCTAAAGGTTACAATCCATTAGAAAATGGACGGGGCAGCACTCAAACCAACACAACTAAACGTAAGGTACAAAATAAAAGGGTACTACTCCATAAATCGGTGTTTGGGAGTCTAATATCCCAGAATCTGGAAATTAATTAAACTAAACCCACACTAACTTTTTAAAAGAAGGTTAAATGAGTAGCCTTAAAGAAGGTATGTTCGACAAAAGGAACGGAGAATAGCCGGTAAAGAAGATATCATGATGGGTAAAGAAGGTATCTCGATAGGAAATCAAAATCGAAAATAGTCGTTAATAATTCTATAATACTATACTATAACTATCTAAAACTGTAATGACTCATCGATGTTCACGTGAACATCACTTAACTACCAGTAGTCGGCTGTTCATAGGCGGGGTATGAATGTTTAACATGGGTGAACTAGATTTGTCACATGCTTAATAAAGAGTGGTTTGAAACATATTGTAAGTCAAAAATTTGGGAATTACCTTTATTCATCGTCGTTTCCACTTACATCTGACAGTAATAAACTGTCGCTATCGCTTTCCTCTTGAAATTGACTATAACTGGCTCTATGATGGTGTCGATGTGGTGGTCAAGCTGCCACATTTTTGTTTCTTCCTTCACAACATGACGGATAGCATTCTGCCAAGCTTCGGGCGTTACTAGCTGTATGGAAGTCTCAAGTAAAACCTAAACGTCTGGTAATTTGAAGGTTGTGTTATGGCGCGCAATATAACCCTTCACTTGAGCCCAGATGAGCTCTATTGGGTTCAGTTCACAGTGGTAGGGCGGTAACCGCAGCACAGTGACACCACATTGACGGGCCATCTCATCAGTCACGTAACTAATGTTCGCAGGTTTGTGCTGTTTAATTTTTTCATACAATTCCGCTTTCACACATGAATCGTCAAACGGGATTAATTTTTCGCGCAACCATTGCTGCATGTCACTTTTTCGATATCCCATAGTCGGTACACGTTCGGCTCGACGACTATGGTAGGAAGCATTATCCATGACGAGCACAGAGTTGCGCTCAACTCGCTGAAGCACCCCTTGAAACCAGCTCTCGAAGCAGCTGGCATTCATTTCGTCATGGTAATCACCTCCTTTCTTAGAGGCGAAAATCAAGTCACACTCTTCTAAAAGCCACTATCGCTACCAATATGAGTTACGATCAATCTTTGACCTTTCCCTGACGGTCCACGAAGACCTGTTGACAAACCTTCAATGCTTGCTTGTCGGTTACTCACTACGTTTTTGTCTATTCAGGTTTTTTTAACTGTGTGACCTGCATTTACCCATGTCTCATCCAAATAATAGATTTTTCTGCTTTGTCGCCTATATTCAATCATTTCGCGTAGGTATTTTCGACACCAGGCGACTATTTCAGGTCTCTCTATCAATACTGACTTTCGATTACGCGTTTCGTAAAGAAAATTAATTTCGTGCAGGGATTTCCTCATTACCTCGACGCTCATTTGGGGTATAATTTCATTTTCCTTGATCGCTGCATGTACAGCCTTGAGGGTTGGTATCTCATTCCTAAAGAAGAATGAATGTACGGTTCGCCTTGACGCCATTTTGCTATCGTCATCCAATTTAACGGCCTTTCGTCCCTTCAAATTAAACTTTGGACCAGTAGTAGCTCCACTTTTTTTCTTCTTTTCATGCACCACCCTGCGAATGGTCCACTCTGGTATGCCTGTCATACTTTCACAACGCGCGAGTGCATCTCCCTGCGACATAGTTCTGTTCAGTTAATTGAACATGTTGAGCACGATTTCTTTCGCGTCCCTCTTCAGTGCGTTACGAAGCCGTCTACTTGTTCCCTGGCTTTCAGTACTTCCACTCGTGCCATTTGTACTCTCCATGGTTAAGTATAACCAAAACAGTAACCACAGAAAAGACAACAATAACAATCACACAACAATTCTTATAAAAACACACAATATGCGATCGCTCAACGAAACACGTTCCAATGCGTTGCCGACGCCTATGAGTCTGCCGGTCGAGGCGCGTCTTTGATTTCATTGGTTCTACCGGCGGAGAACAATCAGCCATTATTTTCATCTCTGTCTGTGCTGTTGACCACCGCAAAGCCACAGAAACGACATATGTCGTACGCTATACGACTGTACTGGAAGGAAGCCGGGATCGAGCTCTGATCACGTGTTGATCACGCGTATGAGTCATTACAGTTTTAAATAGTTGTAGTATAGTGTCCAAAAGATTTCAACACAATACTGAGTCGCTGAGAAAAAAAGATATAACACGAGTGAAATTATACAAACAATAAACTACTAAAGTTACCAAAAGAAAATCATTTAAAGGGTTTGACCTAGGAATGGGAATTTACTCTACTATTAATAAAGAGAAATTCAAATGTACGTGGTCCGATGGTATGCAAAAAAGAATTTATCGCTGAAGGTTCAAATCCCATTAGAAAATGGACGGGGTAGCACCCAAACCGACACAACTTAACGTCAGGTACAAAATAAAAGGGTACTACTCCATAAATCGG